CTGAATTTAGGTAAATTAATCTATTTTAATAAGATGAAATATTTGTTATTTATGGTCTTTAATTGAAATGTAGTTGAAACCTCTTGACTCCTTGTATGTAGAATTATACCTGTTGGGACTTTTAATTTATAGTAACCTTGTTTTTATGATAGCACAAATTTTTTTAAGAGAGACAGAGAAAAAGAGAGAAAGAGAGAGAGAGAGAGAGAGAATTTTTAAATATTTATTTTGAGGATTTTGGTGGAGACAATATTGTTATTTTATTTTTATGTGGTGCTGAGGATAAAACCCAGCGCTGTGCTTATTCCAGGTGTGCGCGTTACCACTTGAGCCACATCCCCTGTCCGACATAAATAATTTAATTTTTTTTTATTGGGTGTTCAAAACATTACAAAGCTTTTGACATATCATATTTCATACATTAGATTCAAGTGGGTGATGAACTCCCATTTTTACCCCAAATACTGATTGCAGAATCACATCGGTTACACATCCACATTTTTACATAATGCCCTATTAGTAATTATTGTAATCTGCTACCTTTCCTATTCTCTACTATCCCCCCTACCTTCCCATCCCATATTCTCTCTCTACCCCATCTATTGTAATATATGTGTAGATGTAATTTATGTTTCATTTTTAAAAAAACAAGGTATCAGACAAGTGCATTCAATAGTGTTAGTAATAGTTTTTTGCTATTGAGGAAAAATCATAAACAGAATGGATATCAGACACTTTATAAATATTAACATTTTAACAGCTGTTTAATCATCTAGAAAAAAACTGTGCATTAGTAACTTTAAAGACATTTGTACTTTTATTTATTTTTCCAATTTAAATTGAACCTTTTAAATCATATTAACCAAAGGTATTTGGATCTTTTTTTATTTTAATTTATGAGCTCAGATGTCAATTTTTTGTACCAAATATATGTAGACATGGCAATACATGTAGATTGACAGTACACTGGTGCATCCACACAAAGCAAACAGATAAACAAAAGCTTTTTAGCTTATTTTTTAAAATCTATTAGATTGAGAGTTAACCCTTGTAAATTGGCCTTAGAATAAAGCAGAGTGTAATCAGAAAAATATATTAATCTAGGCATATTGGAACAAAATTATCAATTTGACAAATATAGAATTTTAAAAGTTTTTCTGACCTTTTCCTTGAGAAGGTCCTGTTCATCAAAGCTAAAAAAGTTAAGGGAATATAGACAAATGAAAGAGTCTTATTTTTTTTCCTGAAGGAACTTCCCAAATATGCAGCTCCATTGGTCTCCTAGGGAGAGTCCCCCAGGTTGGGGTCCCATTCTAAACTGTTTTTTCTGGTTTCTTGGATTGTGGCCACCAAATTTTAGCCTGACTCTGAAAAATCTTTGGACTACTTTTTTAATAGTTGGGAGTTATTCATGCTTGCAAATACTGAGAGACAAAATCCAAACTTCCTAGACAAAATTATGCTTTTTGTTAAACAATTTATGAATAATAACTTTATAAAAGACTTTAGTTTTAATTTTTCCTCTATAGGAACTGACACGATTTACCCAGTTGGCCACGTGGCCTAGTTCCTAAGTGCAGGCAATCTCCAGAATACTTTTTTTTTTTTTACCTTTATCTTTTACTATTGACAATTCTTTTAGTCCTGTTGGCAGCACTTTACATTTTAATGAAAGCTGTAGTGAGCGCAGTTGAAACCATTTTAATAATTTTTTTCTCATTAGAAACAAATTGAGGTAGAAATTAACACAGAACACAAAGGGAACAAACAAAAACAAACCAACAAACAAAGTTCTGAAAATTGTTAAGAAAATGTTAAAGGGGTCCAGGTAGAGATCTCTATAGAGCTTTCTTGTCCCATGATGATGGTGAAGGGAAGGAGTCCTGATGAGAGAAGAGCAATTGTGAGAACAAAAAAAGGGCCCATGCACAACACAGGGACAGATAAATACAAGACAGATGGCCGGCAAACAGACACTGGACAAATGACAAACAGAAAGGCAGAAGCTGGAGAAACGACAAACAGCAGAACAGATGCAGGACAAGCAACAATTGGTAAGGTCACACAGGGATACCTCTAATGGGGCAGAGACCACGTCTCATTCTGCCCCCAGGAACAGATGAGGCCCCACAGGGAGGCCTCCAGGGGGACAGAGACAATGTCTCCTCATGCCCCGAGATACAGACAGGTGAGGTCACACAGGGAGTCCTCCAATGGGGAAGAGTCATGACTCATCCTACCCCAGGCAAAGGTAAGAGCCCACTGGGAGGTCCAGGGAGACAGTGACAACATCTCCTTTTGTCCCGGGAAAGGTGTAAGCAACTGCGTCCAATCTGGCCTTGTTTCCAGAGGAGTCCACTCACCCTATCTGACAGCCAGCAGGAGGAGCATCCTGAGATGCTATAGCCCCCAGATGTTATAGTTAAAGCTTCATCTCAGGGTTTTATAAACTGACTTCCAGACCACTCTTGTATAATCAAATCAAGCCTTTTTTGCAGCACATTAGTGGTCACTGAACAGAATATAAAGCTGTTTCTCTGATCAGCTCTGAACAACTGCAAGGGTGCTCCTTATAACCCTGAAAACCACAAAAGGGATGTTTGGGGTGCAGGCAATGCAAGCAAGCCAGGTTACAGAAGCGGAAGAGTGCAGTCAAGCACTAAGAAGCATAATCGCAGTTGGCTCAGTCACCCCAGTTACAGTAACAGAACCCTGTTACCCTAGTTATAGAAATCATGCCCCATTAGGTAGTTCCATGTCCTTAAAGGTTTTGATATCAAAAGAAAAAGAACATCTTGACCAAGTCATGTCCCTTCTACTTGGCATGGTCATTTTATAGAATGGAGGCACAAAACAAAATAGAGTCACATTTGCTTTTACTATCACAGTATTTAATGGCAGGATTTGTACAGAATATATGAAACGTACACTGCCTTAAACATTCTCCTCTAAAAAGCAGCAACAAGTTCTTATTGCAACTGTCTGGAACACATTATAGGTTCTTATTTTATATGGCATATTTTTTTTCTCAGTTAACAGGACAGTTCCTGAACTTTGGAGGGTCCCCCTCCATGTAGATGAGAGGAATTATAGAGCATACTGGGCCATTTATCCATGCCACAGATTTATCCTCTGCCACTATGGGGCCACTTTTGCAGAACTAGCTGTTTCATGGTTAAAATAGCTGCTAGGACTCTATTGTACACCATTTCTTTTTTTTCCATGTTTCTCTCATCTTTTGGGATGGTGGAGCAGGGATTGTATGACATAGAACACTCTGGCATGGGGTTGTGAGTATGACACATCTGAGTTGCTGGCCAGCCAGGCCAAAGAAGCACCAGCCTTTGTGGGTTTTCATACAAAGGGAGTTGATGCATGGGGGCAATAAACAAAATGTGCTGTGACTGGCCACCTTGATGAACATGAGCATGCCTGGCTCTGTGCTGCCATCTGAGCATCACAGTTGGAGGAACAGACTCAATGAGAGGGAGAATGGCCTGAAGATGATTCCTCAGTCATTCATTCCTCACTGTAGCACTCAGAGGATAAAGGGAACTTAGTCTTCCCTCTGGCTCAAGGCAACCAGATTGTCTGACAACAGACTTGGATGACACTCAACATGCCTCACATTTGTGTGAGGTAGAGGGAAGTCTCATTGTTTCAAAATGGTACATTTGCCATTCAACAGAAGGATATTATTACTGCTTCCAAGGAT